TGCACCTATTAAATAAATTCTTTAGTATAAGCAGTATATATCTAGAGTGTGAACACATACTATCGTATTTTTTTTTTAATTTATTTATTTGGAAGTCAGAGTCACAGAGATGGAGGGAGAAAGAAAAAGTGAGATCTTCCATCCACTGGTTTCATTCTCTAAATGGCTAGAATGGCCAAGTAGAAACCAAGAGCCATGTGAGTGGTGGGGACCCAAACACTTAAGCCATTCTCCATTGCTTTTCCCAGGCTGTTAGCAGAAAGCTGGATCAGAAGAGAATCAGCTGGGACATGAACCAGTGTCAGTATGGGATGCTGGTAGCACAGCAGCAGGTTTACCCACCATGCCACAACATCAGCCAATAGATTCTTACCTAGAAAGAGTATCAAAGCATCACCCAACAAATTTTGCCTCTGGGAAATCCTGACAGTTTTCATCTTCATCTGGCAGACTGAAAACAATATTTTGGTTTCATTTGAACATCTTTGTTGGTGACATTAAGAAATATATGAGGCAGCATTCTGTCTTCTAAATTAATGATTTTTTTAAAAAATGATTTATTTATTTTTTATTGCAGAGTCAGATATACAGAGAGGAGGAGAGACAGAGAGGAAGATCTTCCATCCACTGATTCACCCCCCCAAGTAGCCGCAACAGATGGAGCTGAGCCGATCTGAAGCCAGGAGCCAGGAGCCAGGAGCTTATTCCAGGTCTCCCACGTGGGTGCAGGGTCCCGAGGCTTTGGGTCATCCTCTACTGCTTTCCCAGGCCACAAGCAGGGAACTGGATGGGAAAGTGAGGCCACCGGAACATGAACCAGCACTTATATGAGATCCCAGAAGATGCAAGGCAAGGGCTCCAGCCGCTAGACTATCACACCGGGCCTGCTAAATTAATTCTAACCACAGTCAATTAACTATCTCCTAAAGTCAGAGTTCTGACTGGGTGGAGTATTTGTCTAGCTGATTGAAGTCAGAAATAATATTAACTCCAGAGAACACTGTGACTAAAATGGACCTGGGCAATCACCTGGTTTAACTTCAAGAAATGCATTGATGTTAGAAGCTGTGAAAACTACAGGTGACTTACTTCCCTTCCTGAACATTAGTCATGGGTGCTCGGGTGCTCCTGTGCTCACGTGAAGCTGGTTATAGGCAGAGTCTGCTCTGCCATGTTCTTACATGGAAGAGGCTGGTGTTCTAGGGGGTGAGAACAAAGCCGTAGAACTACTGTCCAGGAGGCTGTGAACATTGGAAATTATCGACATCAGAGAACTTGGTCAGACAGTAGTGAGCTCAGGCAGGGAAGCTGGCAAAGGAAAGGAAATGTGAACTGGATAGAGACAAAGATGAGAAGTGAGTGCTGCCCCATGGGTAGCTCCTGGGGAAATTCGGACAAAAAGGGAAGTAAACCACGTTGGTGGGGACAGTGGCGAGGTGCACAGATGGGAGACCACACATGTTCTCTGAGTCAGGGAATTTAGATCTTCTGCCATCAAAAAATGGGGGGTGGGGTCGGGGGATGGGAGCTAGGAGCTGTTTCCTGATAGGAAGACCAACATTGTTCTAAAAGTACTTCAAGAAAGCATGTGCCCAACAGGCTAATCCTCCCTCTGCAAGCACCAGCAACCCACACAGGCACCAATTCATGTCCTGGCTGTTCCACTTACCATCCAGCAAGAGGGTGGTCCAAGGCCTTGGGACCTTGCACCCACATGTGAGATCTGGAAGAAGCTCCTGGCTTCTGGGTTTAAACCAGCTCAGCTTTGGCTGTTGCAGCTATTTAGGGAGTGAGTCAGTGGATGGAAGACCTTTTCTGTCTCTCCTTCTCTCTGTAAATCTGCTTTTCCAATAAAAAGAAATAAGAATGAAAAAGCAAGCAAGCAAGTCCTATCTCAGACACTGAGTGCTCACATTCGCATGTTCTCAACTTGGGCAAGTTCAAGATATCGGCTCACAGTAACACTTAAAAAATGAATCTGACCAGTATTGCTAGGTGTGGCCTGACGCATTTTGGTAGGTATGTGGTTGGGGCCAGAAAGAGGGGTTCACCTCATCAAGGGGAAAGTCAGAGCTGACTCTCAGGGAGACCTGGCATATTAAGACTTATTTTTTGTAAGGCGGTAGTCTATGCAGTTAAAATTCTGGACTTTGGTGGGTATTTGAAGCTGAACCAAAACTCCTGCCATCTGAATTTCTGTATCATGGCTGCAACTGTACCCATTTTCAGTGGATTGAATGCCAAGACTAATATCCTTTTATTAGTCATCATCAAGTGAGTAATTACAATGAGGCAAAGACTGTTATTCTGGGGTATGTAGTCAGAGCTACAAAACCCCAGCTCTTAAATAAGATGTTGAATGCCCCTTAGTAGGCTTAGTTCCTCCAGATTTATTTGCCCCACCCAGTGGCAGTGAAATCAACAGTGTGGAGGGTTGGGGCGGAGGGCAGAGCCCAAGAGTGAGGTTGCCCTGGCTGTGGGAGGTGATGATGAGTCTCTCATACTGACCCCTGAAAGGTGAAAACACTACAGGTGCGCTCAAAGCACAGCTACAGGCTTCTACTGGTAAGGCAGGAGCCATGGCCCCCAATACCCGTCAGCAGCATAACACAGCTTACAGTTTCTTGGAATGTTGTCACTTTGGCCCAGCCTTCAGAATGTCCTGGAAGATGATTGACACTAGATTGTGGCTTGCGCTTCCACCACAGCTCACCTGAAATGCCCTTGCCATGAACAGCTAGTTTTGTTGCTCTTAGCAATAGGAGACATGTGGGCCAGTCAGTAGCCATGGACATTTGAAAAAAAATCTACTACAGGAATGGGGTTCTTGTTAGATCATTTTAGGGAGAGTTTGAGGAAATGGGGCCTGGTTCTGGATTGGAGGCAGTCAGGAACCAAGGTGGATTCTACACCCAAGTGCTGCATTAATGCAGTTACTATTGCTAAAATAAAACACTGGAGGCTGAGTTCTGTTCTAAAGAGGCTTATTCTGCTCGAGGTACAGAGGGCTGCAGGATCCAAATAACAGAGAAGGGACAGAAGGGGCCAAGCACGTAAGATGGATCAGCCTTCTGACAACTTGCCCTGATCAAATAAGAACTAACTCACCTGCAAGCTCTGCTTTAACTCCAGGGACCCAACCAGCACCCACCTCTTGCAGATTTTTCCATGTCAATACCAGCACAGTGGGGACCAAGCTTCCTTCACATGAACCATTGGGGGATCCACCTAGACTATATCCAAACCAGGACAGATGTCTTAATGGATCTTAGTTGGAATAAAGCTGAAATTGGTGTGGATGGAGCTGTAGATCATATCAATGGCATGGGGTGAAGGACTGGCTGTTTTTGTGGTGGGGACAGTGCTGACGTGTGCGTGTGTGTGTGTGTGTGTGTGTGTGTGTGTGTTCAGACATTTTTGCAGAGGTGCTGCATTTCTCAACCTGGCCTAGTCTGATGTCATCTGCACCCCAAGACCTTGCTGTTAGTGCTGAATGGAAGCCATCAGCTCTACAGGGTTTGTCCCTTTCCTGTGGAGATAAGTATTTGTGCCCCAATTTTTATATCCCAAATGTGTGGACTAAAAGCAACTGAAAGCTTCAAAACTACAATGTCTATCGCCGATGCATCTTTACCAGTGAGCATGCTCATTGCAAACTAGGTGTGTCACTGAGACCAAAAAATGAAACTGACTGGTAGTTCCTACGGTTGGATTGGCACACTTAGACAAAAATAGTAGCACTGTATCTAGGGAGATATAGATATGGATAGATTATCATAAATCTGCATTTTAGATAAATGCTAAATTGCAGTATGAGAATATGGTAAATAGTTCATGAAGAAAGGAAATTAAATGATAGGTACAGGGGTGAGAGTTGGGCCTAGCTGATTAACATGCCCATGCCCCGTATCAGAGGGCTCAGGTTGAATAACCAGCTCTGGTTCCTGACTTCTTGCTAATGTGCATGCTGGGAGGCAGCAGTGATGATCAGGAAATGGGGTTCCTGCCAAAAACATGGCAGACCTGAATTCAGTTCCTGGCTCCTCACTTCACCCCAGTGACTGAGGATGTCTGGGTAGTGAACCAACAGGTAAGAGCACTCACTTACTTGCTTTCTCTCTCACCCTTCCTCCCTCCATCCATTTTTGTGCCTCTCAACTAAATGAAAAAGAATAAGCGTATTTTGATGTTAAAAAATTAAAATCCATGCTAAATTTTTCATATTAACTTTTCTGTGAAGTTTTTGAAGACTTCATGCTTGGGAGATACTTAATGTTAAAATTAAGTACATGGTTCATCTGAAATTCACATTGAACTGTCCAATATTGTGTCTGGCAGCCCTCACCTAGGGAGGTTTAAGCCACAAAGTAATTTTGCTTGGAGGAGAGATGGTGTTGGGCCAAATGGAACAAGCACAGCTCACTGGGAGTACTGACCAAGCAGTCAAGTCCTACTGGAGTCTGTAACATGACAGAGCAGTGCTGCCTGCGGAAATGAGAATTTTTAAGTTCAGTAAAGCTCTTGAAGGAAAAAAGGGATTTAGTCTAGCAGTTAAAATCCTGTCTGTCATCCACATCAATTTTCAGGTGGAGTGTCTGAGTGTGAGTCCCATTTCTGCTCCCCATTCCAGATCCCTGCTAAGGTGCACTTCGGGAGGCAGCAGTTATGCCTTATATAGTTGGGTCCCTGACACTAACTTGAGAAACTTCCGTTAATTCCTTGCTCGTAGCTCTGTTCTTACCTGGTCCAGGTTGTTGCAGGCAAATGAGGAGTAAATCAATGGATGGGAGACTTCCTGTCTCTCAAAATATATAAATAGATATCAACCCAGCACAATGACTCAGTAGGCGAATCCTCCCCTTTCAAGCACTCTGATCCCATATAGGCGCCAGTTTGTATTACAGCTGCTCCACTTCCTATTCAGCTCCCTGCTTGTGACCTGGGAAAGCAGTGGAGGATGGTGCACAGACTTGGAACCCTGTAGCCACAAGGGAAACCTGGAAGAAGCTCCTGGATCCTGGCTTCAGATTGGCTCAGGTCTAGCCATTGTAGCCATTTGGAGCATGAGCTTTGGACAGATCTTTCTCTCTGTCTCTCTTCTCTGTAAGTCTGTGAATTCATATCCCCCCTGCTCCACTTCCCATCCAGCTCTCTGTTTAAAGCCTGGGAAAGCAGAGGAAGATGGCCCAAGTCCTTGAGCATCCGTTCATTCGTGTGGTTGACCAGTAAGAAATTCTCCCTTCCTCCATGTTTTTCTCTTTCTGTCTAAAAAAAATTTTTAAAGAAAAAAATTAAAGGGTCTAGCACAATAACTGTAGCAGCAAAGTCCTTACCTTGAGTATGTTGGGATCCCACATGGATCCCGGTTCTAAACCTAGCAGCTCCACTTCCCATCCAGCTCGCTGCTTGTGGCCTGAGAAGGCAGTTGAGGATGGCCCAAAGATTTGGGATCCTGTACCCACATGAGAGACCCGGAAGTGGCAACTGACTTTGGATTGGCTCAGTTATTGCGGCCGCTTGGGGAGTGAACCATTGAATGGAAGATCTTCCTCTCTGTCCCTCCTCTCTGTATGTCTGACTTTCCAGTAAAAATAAGTAAATTTAAAAAAAAAAGAGAGAAAATTAAAAATATGAAGCCCAGAAACTACTTTTAGCAGGAAAGTAATAGCCTCTGACATGATAAAATAGTACCACATTCTTTCATGAACAGAAATACAGATTTAATGATAAAATGAAATTTGATCCCAGCATTTCACAATTTAAAATGGGTGGGTGGGTGGAGTTTTGTTTCCCCTTTTATCCCTTTCTTTGTATCTCCACACCCTTTACATCCCCACTGTCCTCCACCTTGCTCCTAACACCATACACCATGGGTGGGCATTTGGCATTTTAAGACGCTGCTTGGGACACCAGCACGCCAGGTGACAGTGTTTGCGCTTGAGCACTCCCACTCCTGATTTCTTCTATTCAGTTCCAGACTTCTTCCTGGAAGGCTGGATTCTAGATCCGAACTCCTTCACGTCTGTGGAGTGAGATGATACCTCTCCTAAGAGGGCTGGGACCACCAGGCTTGCGGGTGTGATGCATTCCTTTACTGATAATAGACATTTCTGTAGTCTTGGGTGCCATGTGTCTTTTTTGAGTTTTTGAGTTTATTTTACTTCTTTCAAAGGCAGGAGGAGGCAGATATCTCATCCATTGTTCTATACACCAAATGCTTTTGAGATCTGAAGGCCATAAACCAGGAGCCAGGAACTCAGTCTGGGTCTGCCTTGTGGATGGCAGGAAACCAAGTGCTTGAACCATCACCCTTGCTTCTCAAGGTTGGCATGAGCAGAAAGCTGCATTCAGGAGCATAAAGTGGGAATTGAACTCAGGTACATCCAGTATGGAACACCAGTGTCTCAATTACTGTGCTAAACACCTACCCCCTGATGAATGTTTTATTAATCATATTTCTCTGTTCCATCTTGTATTTTGAAAATGTTTTACTTGCATTATTTTGTTCCATAGAGTATTTATTTGCCATTTAAAATCACAACTACTTCGAAATGTCTTTAAATATATTTGAGAGGCCAAAACAGAAAGAGAGAGAGAGTATGCTCCTATCTTCTGATGTGTTTGCAAATGCTTGTAAGAGCCAGGGCATTAAAGCAGGGAGCAAAGCACTGGAGTCTCCCTTCTTCACAGCTGCCTCCCAGAGGTCACGTTAGTGGGATGCTGGGTTAGGGAGCCATCTGATGTAAAACACAGGCATCCTCTCTGACACCTTACCTCTAGGTCAGAAACCCACTCCTGTATCTACTTTTAGAAGTAGGGATAGTGGCAAAAAAGATGAGAAGTAAGCGTTTAGAGACGCACTTAGACAGTGTTTTAGTGTTACTAGAAAGAGGAAATGGGAACCCAGGAGACAGAAGTGAGGACAAGACTGTTTTTTAGTGCAGTTTCTTAAGGTAGCAGACATTAACTGCCTCTCTATATTGGGATGGACACTAGCACAATAGGGAGGGAAACTTACTAATGTAAGAGCAGAAGGCGGGATTGTTTTTTCTTTAAAGGTATTCCAGGGAGGTGAGAAGGAATGGAACTGAAAACATTGGAGGAGAAGCTATCCTTGGCTGGGATTAAGGATTGTTTGCTCAGTAACAGGGAAAAAAAAAATCAGCCAAGGAGGGGCCCAGAGCCACCTAGGATGGTAGGTCCCCAGAGGATAGCTCTGGATTGTCTGCTTCCTGCTTCTCCTGCCAGGCTGAGCTATTTTTCACTCCAGGTGAAAAAGAATACATTAGCAAGCCTCATTATTCCTGGATCTGGTGTTTAAGAACTGGCCCTGTGGCCAAAAGTCATTTATAGCCCTAATAAGGACTGGCAGGATATTTGCCATCAATCACAGGCGTGTGCCTGTGCAGAGTGGCAAAAACGTAGAGAGGGCCGCTGTATCCTCCCCGGCTGGCAGTCAGCCGCCTCTGGCTCAGTGCTCATCAAGTAGACACGTATCCGTTTCAGGGTCTGTTTTGTATCCGTTTTCATATTTCTGTGCTTTTTATTATCGCCTGAGCATGTTACTGAAGTGCCACTTCGGTCTTCCAAGTGCAGGAAGCCTGGGATATGCAGTGAGGGGGAGAAAGCACAGTCAGGAAAGCTCCATAGGGTGGGGAGCCATGCGGCAGGTGCTGCTGAGTCCAATGTCACTATCAACTGCATGCGTGACCTAAGCTTTCCAATATCCATGCACAGAAAACAGAATTGTGCACTGGTCTCCTCACTGGAATTGTGACCACAGACCCACCGGATCCTAACCCGAATTTCCTCTAAGTTTGTTAATTCAGGCCTGGGGAAATGCAATGGGTTTGAATTTTGTCTCCTCCCAGAATTCATGTACTGGAACCTAACTGCCAGTACCTCAGAATGCGGGTGGAAATGGAGATGGGGTCTCTAAACAGGTAAGTTAACACGAGGTCGTTTTGATGGATATGAAACAAAATAACAGCTGGTGTCAGAAGAGATGAGGACTCAGACAGGCACAGAACATGCACAGGAGGATTCAGGCTTGGAAGAAAGTGTCATGTGTGTCCAGCTTCCAGCTTTCAGCCCAGAAGGAGAAGAATTTGTGTTTTTGAGTCCACCGAGTCTGTGCTTAACGATTGTGACAGCAAGGAGCCTAATGAGGGCCTCTGGAGAGGACATTCCTACCATGAACAATGGATTGCTTGCCAGGTCACAAAATAAAGAACTTTGTGCAAGTCTGTGTGCCTGAAAGAGCCTCTTGGGGTTCAAAAGTGATGACTATAGTAACAATATTTTTTTCCTTTTTTAGAATGCTTCTCATTTAGGTCTCCCCTGCAGGTGGCAGAGGCCCAAGCATTTGAACCGTCATCTGCTGCTTCACAGGATGCATTAGCAAGAAGCTGCATCAGCAATGGAGGAGCTGGGACTCAAACCAGCAATCCAGTGTCACAAGCATCCAGGTCAAGACGTAGAGCATGATCCAAGCCCTATATACCCCTCCTACTTGTTTCCCCTCAAACATATCCACCATTCTGACTTTTATTACTGAAATTTGTTTTACACTACATTTTCAACTTAAATTTAGTCCTGCAATCTATTTTTGTTTCGGGCTGCTTTGGCTTACCGTAATGCTTGTGAGGTCCTTTCATTGTATCAGAGTGTTCTGATGATTGCATTCTAGACACTTGATGGGCATTTGTACTATTTCCAGTTTGGAGATATCAAAAGCAAAGCTACAGATGAATGTTGTTGCACATATATTTTGTTTAAGTTTTCATCCTCTAAGAGCAGAACTATTGGGTGATAAGCAAAGTGTAAACTCAGATTTAGTAGATTATTGCCAAATAACTTTCCAATGAAACTTTGCCTCTTTTACATTCTACCAATAGACGAAGTTCCTGTTACTCGGATTCTTGATAACAATTTGTATTATCATTTGAGACTGCTTAATCGTTTCTGATATTTGACTAGTGTTATCTCATTGTATGCATTTCTCTGGTGACTAAAAATGGTGAACACTCTGTTTTCATATGCTCGTTGAACAACTAGTCATCTTCCTTTATGAGTGTCAGTTTAACTATTTCTCCTGCCTTGTTGATGAGTTGTGTGTCTTTTTCTTGATTCCCAGGGGTGTTTGTTTAGCCTAGCTTGAATCACAGTCTTATCAGTGAGCTATGGATGTGGCAAGTTATGATTGGTGTGTTCTCAGTGATACGAAGTAGCAATCATGAAAGTTTTCCAAAGGCAGATCCCCTGGGCAGGCAAAAGCAAATGATACATACCTCACAATGATTGTAAAGGAAAAATGATCTCTTATGCTTCACTCTTTATAAGTGACTATGTCCTGGAGCCATCATAAATCAGGGTGTGATTCCCTGTTTGAACAGAAATTTCAAGTTACCAAAGGTCCTCTGATTCTAATTCTAAAATTATCTCTTCAAATATTATCATCAAGTAAGAATTAGAGATAACTTTTTTTAAAAAATCAATTTATTTTTATTGGAAAGTAAGATATACATAGAGGAGGAGAGACAGAGAGGAAGATCTTCCGTCTCATGATTCGCTCCCCAAGTGGCTACAATGGCTGGAGCTGTGCCAATCCGAAGCCAGGAGCTTCTTCTGGATATCACATGCAGATGCAGCGTCCCAAGTCTTTGGGCTGTCCTTGTCTGCTTTCCCAGGCCACAAGCAGGGAGCTGGATAGGAAGCAGGGCTGCCGGGATTAGAACCCCATATGGGATCCTGATGCATCCAAGGACAGAAGTTTAGCTGCTACACTACCGTACCGGACTCTAGAGATAATTTTAATTAAAACTTTCACCAATTCTTACCTAATATTGTATGTAATATATTATCTTTAAAATAATTTGAGCAGGAGAGAGAGAGAGAAAAAAAAAACTTATCCAGGGGCTCACTCTCCAAATTCCTAGAACAGCTGGGGCAGGGGTTGACACCAGGAGCTGGGAACACAGTCCAGGTCTCCCAGTCACTTGGCTTTTACTGTATCAGGATCTGCACCAGCAGGAAGCTGGAGTCTAGAACGGAACTCGGGTACTCTGCTGTGTGGTGTCTAAAGGCTGCACAGTTACCAGTAATTTTCATTCATTATATTAACCCTGTTTTAAGTAATCCTGTTTAAAAAAATATATTCCTTTACTTGAAAGTCAGAGGCGCAGACAGAAAGAGAGGAAGAGATCGGCAGAGATCTTTCATCATTCCAATTCCCAATTGCTACAGTAGCAGGTATAGACTGGGCTGAAGTCAGCCAGAGATTCATCTAGGTCTCCCACCTGGCTGCAGGCACCCGAGCTTTTGGGCCATTTGTCACTGCTTTCCAAGGCTATTAGTAGGGAGCTGAATTGGAAATGGAACAGCCAGGAATTGAACCAGTGCTATTGGCAAAGGCTTAACCTGCTACACCATGGTACTGGCCCCCACAAGGATTATTTTTCTAAGTCTGATGTCCATTGCTCATTTACACAGTCAAAAGTACACATATTGTTCTATAACTTTCTTTTTCTTTCCAACAGCTTGCCTTATAAGAATACTTTTAAAAATATTTGTTTATCTTTATTGGAAAGGCAGATATACAAAGAGAAAGAGTTAACAGAGAGAGAGATCTTCCATCTGCCGATTCACTGCCTAAGTGCCCACAGTAGCCAGAGGTGAGCTGATCTGAAGCCAGGAGCTTCTTCTGGGATTCTCATGAGGATGCAGGGTCCCAAGGCTTTGGGCCGTCCTCGACTGCTTTCCCAGGCCACAAGCAGGGATCTGGATGGGAAGTAGAGCAGCCAGGACACGAACCAGCACCCATATGAGATGCCGGGCATACAAGGTGAGAATTTAGCCACAAAGCTATAGCATCAGGCCTTTATAAGAATAATTTATCTAATTTACTCATTAGAACAGCTTTATAAAAATATACAATGTCAATATAAACATAATTTATTTCAATGTTTTCCCTCTTAGAGTGAATAATATTATTTAGATTTGACTTTGTTTCTTATGACATTTTTCCATGTAATAGGGAAAATGTTTGTACAGATAAGACTGGCCAAAAAAAAAAAAGCCTCAATGTGGAAAAAGACAAAGGATCATTATGCTTTCAGTCAATACTTTCATATTTATTCTGCAACAAGCATGTGCTGTTTCTCAGCATCTGCTAACATCTGCAATGAGGGAATGTCCCCCTGTTCTACCCTGTTCTGACACCTGTGTAAGTTACCCCGGGCAGAGATGTCCCGTTGTTGTTTGTACTCACAGTGTACACTGAGCCGGAATAGTGTAAAATGTCAAGATGTATGCTTAGAAACAACCTTATTTTTGCAGCAGGAAGAAGTCAAGAGAGGGAATCAGAACTGAAATACAATTGATCAACTTTGCAGATTGCTCCCTAGTTCTTCTCTGCCCTTGAGTCTCCTCAACCAAAAACTAAACAAGTTTGTGCAGGTAGACAGGGCCTTCATCTTAATTCATAAATGCTTTGTGGCAAAACCCCTCCAGCCATTTTATCACTCGTCATCTTTAAATAACAAGACTGGAATGTTCCTCTGTATTTGGTTAAGACAACTTGAAGATGTTTTTTTTCGATGGTTTAGACATTTGTGTAATGACTTCTTTGCCTCAGAAATGATCAGTTTTTGAAAAGATGACAGATATTACAGACATTGGGTGGATGTGCTGGGATGTAGGACCACTTATCCCAGGGCCTGGGTTCAAGTTCTGGTTCCATCCCCACTTTTAGCTTCTGGATTTGCCTGCCGTAACCGTGGCTGCTAGGGAATGTGGAGAGTGAACCAGCAGATAGGAGATCTCTCTGGTCTCTGTCTCCCTTTCAAATAAATATGAATCAAATTAAGCTGTTAAAAAAAAAGAAACCACACATGCATGCCCCTTTACCTCTCAGTACTTTAATAACGAACACTTCTAATTTCATGTAAGTTTGTCTTGATCTTGCATGGGGATAATATTATCCTCCTCCACATGGTACAGTCATTCGAAGTAGCGAGAATCATGAGGCCTTCAGTAGGAATTTTCATTTGCAATACTTTTACTTCTCATGTTGGAATAAAGTAGGTAGTAGCAGCAAGTTAAATGTTTGGTTTAAAGTTACTTTTATGGATAGATTCTCTGAGAATTAGATGAACCTGCAAAGTCAATGCTGTTTACTCTTCCAGTGAATTATAGAAAAGCTTTTGCATTTTAGATGGTTACCTTTCTGTCTTTGTGATAATCCAGGTAAGTATCACCATACAAGGTCTTTAATTAAAAGCTCAACACGTTATGGAAGAAAGAACACAGTGTTAAGTTATCACCTATGATGGCAGCATCCCTTATGGGTGCCCATTCATGTCCTGACTACTCCACATCCATTCCCGCTTCCTGCTAAATGCGCCTGGGACAGCAGTGAAAGATGGCCCAAATATGTGGAAGACTTGGCTGGAGTTCCAAATTCCTAACTTTGGCCTGGCACCATTTGGAGAGTGAGCCAATGGATGGAAGAGGGTCTCTCTCTTTTTAAAACAAATAAATAAATAAAAACTTTACAAGAAAGCAGGAAAGAGTGAGCCAGGAAAGAATGCAAGGGAAGAACCACTGACAGCTGTTTGAGGAGCGTGTGGATAGAACTATCAACCCATCAGGTCAGTGAGATGTGTGTGTAGAATTTGTTTCATCTTGGTCATCCACAACAACCCTATGTTTCAAACATCTTTTGTCCAGTCCAAGAAATGTTCTCTTTAAAAGTAATCAGAAATCTTTTTAGTGGCCTCTTTTAAAAAATAGTGTCTGTAACCAATTCGTAAAAAAAAAAAATAATAATAATAATAATAAAGAAAGAAAAAAGAAAGAAAAGGAAAAAGTATTTACCACTCTGTGAGAAAATCTTCCCACTTGCTTGAAGCCCACTATTTGTGAGCTCAGTCAGTGTGTGTGCACACTGCAATGATAAATGAACACGTACTGTCATGGAGCACATAAATTGTGACTCAGATTTTGCTGCTTTGAGAAAGTTCCCTGGATTCATTAAAAATTATGAGTTTGGGCCCGGTGCACTGGCGCACAGGCTAATCCTCCACCTCAAAGCACCAGCACCCCATATCGGTGTGCGTTCACACCCTGCTCCACTTCCCTTCCAGCACCCTGCTTGTGTCCTGGGAAAGCAGTAGAGAATGGCCCAAAGCCCTGGGACCCTGCACCTGTGTAGGAGATCCAGAAGAAGCTGCCTTCTGGCTTCAGATCAGCTCAGCTCCACGCAGTCACTTTGGGAGTGAACCACCAGATGGAAGATCTTTCTCTGTTTCTCCATTTCTATGTAAATCTGACTTTCCAATTTAA